AAGTTTTACTGATCATGTTACGGGATAGTCCTATAACATATAACCTCGGAAGAGCTATTTTCTTTTTACTTATTTATATCATTTTTTAGGTGCTGAAGTTGTGCATCTTTTACTTTTTTCCGTTATTTGTCTTCTTGCTATTATTTTTCTTTTGGTCGTGAGACTTTTGACGTGACTAGGTATTCATGCATCCCGCCATCAGGTATTTGACTTTTTAACTTTGGGCATTCCTAGTGCAGGTGGGTCCTGGTGTTCGATTCCGATACAAGAATTTTTTAATGTGTTGTTTCTATTCTGTTTACCCTTGTATTTCTGTTTACCTATTTTCACTTTATCAAGAAAGAGTATACTATAAACGGTATGTACTGTCAACGACAAAAGCGTTTTTTTTTGTTTGTTTATGGCGTCATTGTATAATTTACGTCACTGATGAGTATTTGTAGACAAAACGCACGTCTGGCGTACAAAACTTTGGTCTTGGCATCTATGATGAGTTATTTCTATTTACTACATCTTTTTGTTGGCGTCTTTGTTAGTTTAATGTGTATGTTTGTTTGAATTTTTTTGTCAGTTGTGTTGTATGTCTGTGATGTATGTTTAAAAGTTTTGACTGATGGTTCCCAATTAGTGTCACATTAACCTATTACATATGTTTGGGTTGCTTACTCAATTTTGTCAATATAACGGAACTATGAACAACTGTCATTCAAGTGGGAGGTTTAGCTAGCTGTAAAACCAGGTTTAACCTACTATTTTCGTCGGAAAATGCCTGTACCAAGTGAGGAATATGGCAGTTTTTACACGACCGCAAAAAAATTTTGTGGTCGTATATTGGTATGACGTTGGCGTCGTCGTCGTCGTCGTCGTCGTCGTCCGAAGACACATTGGTTTTCGCACTCTAACTTTAGTTTAAATGAATGGATCTCTATGAAATTTTACCATAAGGTTCAATACCACAAAAGAAAGGTTTGGATTGATTTTGGGGGTTATGGTACCAACAGTTAAGGAATAAGGGGCCAAAATAAGCATTTTTGTAACTTCCAGACATAACTTGTATGTTAGTGTATGGATCTCTCTGACATTGTACCACAAGGTTCCATATCACAAAGGGAATGCTGGGATTGATTTTGGGGGTAATTGCCTCAAAATTTTAGGAATTAGGGGCCAAAAAAGGGGCAAAAAACAAGCATTTTTCTAGTTTCATGATAATAACTTGTGTGTAAGTGTATGGATCTTTCTGAAATTGTACTACAAGGTTCCATATCACAAAGGGAAAGCTGGAATTGAGTTTGGGGGTAATTGCCTAAAACGTTTAAGAATAAGGGGCCAAAAAGGGGCCAAAAATAAGCATTTTTCTAGTTTCCAGACAAAAACTTGTGTTCAAGTGTATGGATCTCTCTGAAATTGTACTGCAAGGTACCATACCACAAAGGGAAGGCTGGGATTGATTTTGGGGGTAATTGCCTCAAAGTTTTAGGAATTAGGGGCCAAAAAGGGGCAAAAAACACGCATTTTTTTCTAGTTTCAGGACAATAACTTGCGTGTAAGTGTGTGGATCTTTATGAAATTGTACTACAAGGTTCCATATCACAAAGGGAAAGCTGGGTTTGAGTTTGGGGGTAATTGCCCTAAACGTTTAGGAATTTGGGGCCAAAAAGGGGCCTAAAAACAAACATTTTTCTAGTTTCCAGACAATAACTTGTGTTCAAGTGTATGGATCTCTCTGAAATTGTACTGCAAGGTACCATACCACAAAGGGAAGGCTGGGATTGAGTTTGGGGTGATGAATCATAAGGGGGTTCAAAAAAATTGGGCGAGGGATTTTTTTTTCTTTAAAATTTTCCTTTTTAAATTGGTTATTTCTGATTTATATATGTAGGACTCAAACCTATGGTGGGTTCCAGATCTATGGTAAATTCCTAATCTATGGTAAATATGATGTCACAAACGCCAAACAAATCATAAATCTGTGGCAGTTTTTTGTTTTCCCCAAATCTATGGCAGATTTTGATATCACGTAATTTTCCGGGGAAAAGATTAAATCATAATGTCACAATTAAATAACGTCATAAAAACGGTTTTTACGAAAATCCCTTCAAATAAGAAGATGTAATCATCTCATTCGGATGAAATAAGAATACTAGCGAACAAATCCAGTCATTCGTAACAGGAAAATCGCTAGTGTAGGCAATTTCACGCAAATGAATATTTTTTTGGTGTTTTCGATGTTTATGGTTCGTGTTTGTTTCCGCTTTTTGTTTTCTCATTCTCGCGTTCCTGGTATTGTCCTCTCCCTCAATTGTACGAGTTTTTACTTTGCATTTTGGTTTGCTTTTTTCTTTTCTTTCATATTTTTCGTTTTATTCTTGTTGTTGTTTTTTTTTAATCCCAATGGTACTCTTTAATTCTTTTTTAACATAACCATTAGTATTTTGTCAGCTATATAACAGCGACTTCCTGTCATAGATTTCTAATAACTATTTACATTATTTTCAGCTATATGTATGTCGAATAACTGTACTTTGTACTTTTTTAATAAAGCCACGTGTTTGAAGCAAGTCATTGTTTATTATAGGACTTTGACTTTAATCCTTATCAGTTAAATTTTTTTTTATGTACGCTCAAATAAATATATGGTAAACAGTCAAACTGCTTTTTGCGTTGTCAATGGACTTGTCGGGGCCTTTTATAGCCAACCACATGGTATGGGTTTTTCTCATTGTTGAAGGCCGTACGGTGGCTTTCACTGAAAGCAGATTTTCCGCTATCTTTGGACATTTCAACTTTGAAATTTTTTATCAGATATGTACTGACTGGTCCTTCATTTGCAGAAAGTCTGCTATAGATTTGAAAACTAGAAATTCGCCATAGATTAGGAAACTAAAAATTTGCCATAGATTAGGATTCTGAAAAATCTGCCATAGATTGGGGATGGCACGACGCCACATTTACCATGGATTAGGAATCTGCCATAGATCTGGAACCCACCATAGATTTGAGTCCTACATATATAAAAGCAAATAATAATGATATGGTTTGAATAGGTAAATTAATAATTTTCAAAGTTCTTAGACCACATTCATTCTGTGTCAGAAACCTATGCTGTGTCAAATATTTAATCACAATCCAAATTCAGTGCTGTATCAAGCTTGAATGTTGTGTCCATACTTGCCCCAACTGTTCAGGGTTCGACCTCTGCGGTCGTATCAAGCTGCGCCCAGCGGAGCATTTTATTTCACTTGTTCCGTTGATTCATAGCGTTAGATTCTGTCAGCTTTTATTTGCTTTTGAGTTCAGTATTTTTGCTATTTGTTATTTTATATTTCATATTTGCCTGTTTTGCTATCAATGTGCCGCCCCAAAATAAAAGGAGAAAATATCAGCATGAAAACGTTTGAAATGGAATAAGAATGCAAAACCGTATGTTATAAGACTTAGTCCAAGCTACTTTAAAAAAACGAAAAAATATGAAGATGAAAATTGACCGTACTAGGTTTCTGTAAACTTTATTTAATGAATGACTTTAATATTTGTTTCTATATACTAGTAAGAAAAAATAACATCAAAAATATGGAGCACACTAAATAATCCGCGTAGCGATTTATTTTAAAGTGTGCACCACATTTTTGAGATTATTTCGAATAGACAGAAACAAATATTACAGTCATTCCTTATAATTTAATTCTAAATTCCATTTTTAAGGAGTAAATCATGAAAAAAAGTTAATGACAAAATTATGTCTATGAGCTGATAGACAAAAAACTTTCAGCCAATCAGAAGACGTGTTACATTCAAAATTAAATTATTGACATATCGTACGAATATTTTTTCTCTTATTTTAAAATGAGCGATTTTATGTCCTCTCCATTAATTAAGTGATGATATTGCCTCTGGACATTTATTATTCTTTCAAAAGATTTTTTTATTCGATCGATTATATAAATCACATTCAAAATAAATCCTATAATATTTTATGCAAAAACTTTTATTTTATCTTTGGAAATGTGTATATATACATGTAGTTATTATGTACATGCCTATTGAGAAGCCCCAGATATATTGTAAATACAAAGTAATAATGGGCGATATTTACGTACCTCACCTGACTCAGCTAGTGCATGGGCCTATGGATGCCATATCTAAGCTCAGTGTTATAGAATAATAATTCAACACTTATATTTTCCCTATTATTTCCCGCCAATAATTCGTATATTTGTGTTTTTAAAGTGAAATATATTTCCTAAAGTATCTGTGACTTATATTTTTTATTATTATGTTATTCTACTAATCTGTACATCCATGCATCAGCTTGTTAGCTGAATAAATTTTGAGCGAAATCTTACATAGATTTTCTTTGATAATTCGATTTAAACATTTCATCAACGCTATTTTCTTCTTTTTTTCCTTATTGTAAATTAGCATCTCACACGTGCTTTTTTGAGAGCCGATTTTGAGCTTAGATAAATTTTGATCTTTCTATTTTAAAGTTTTAAATAAGATTTTTTTTTACATAAAGTTCTAATACTCTCGATCCACCGTAATAAAGAAACAATAATGAGGGAAAATATTGCCTTTTGCTATTAAAATGGTTTAAATGCGTGTTCAGCAAGTGAAATACAATGGATTTATCGATACACGTATTCATATCCGAATTGGATGAACAAGGAAATGAAATGTTCTTTGAATGGGGTTATATTTAAACATTTAAAACATAGATTAGTTAGAAAAAAATAGCTGTTTATTCATTATTTTTTGTTTTTGAAAAGCACGGAAGACTTCAATTTTTTCAACCCTGACATCACAAGACGAAGATTTTTTTCAAATGGATATTTAATTAAATTATGGTGTATAGCCTTAAAATACCTGTATTGAGTTAATATCTTTATTCATAAAGTATTAATTTCATATTTTTTTTCTCGTCAAACAAAATTAAGTATTAACATACACATTTACTTGTTGTATAAATCGATATTTGTTCAATGTGATATCGATATAGGCAGTAAAATACATAAAAGGTATGATTTGACGTGATTTAATGCGCACCTGGTTTCACTCAGGAAGAACTATTTTTAAACTGATTATATATTTCAGCGCAGTACTTCCTTGTTTGAGTTTTGTATTGAATATGAAAATGACATGGCATCAATAGAAGGTAACGATGAAGACATAGTGTGGTCCGATGAAACACAGAGCATTAGAGATGTGGTATACTCTAGTATGCCAGCCATTGTGCGGGTGGCCGAAGGCTTTTATGGAGAGAATGATGCAGAATCATTTTCAAGAGGAGATTTGCTAAAACTTGACTTTGTGAAAAGTATTCAAAAAGTATTTGCAACGGTTGTGTCATCATGGAGCGAAGCCATTCTGGAAGACCGAACCGGTTATATTCAACCAGACCGTGAAATTATCATTCCACTCGGGTACAAAGGTAAGGTTGTTATAACAAGACCACCAACCGAATTTAAAGTGTATACATCTGTCACTGAACTTATGAGAGACTTTCCACGTTATGTAAGGGTTGATACTCCATTCTTTGCACAATCAAATCAAGATCAAGCTATACGTATAGAATCTGGCAAAAGGTTAGAATTGGATCGATTTTTACCTAACCAGGGACTGATTGCAAAATATGACGACGATGTTGTAGTCCTAAACAATAGTGTAAAAGGTCGGTTTGTTCCACTACCAGATGAAACGGAATACACACTGACAGATGTGATTGATAAATTGCCACTTCCACAATTCGTAAGATTTGTAGAAGATGAGTTTGAAAAGGTTCTTACGACAGATTTGCAAAGCGCTGTTGAAAACGTCCAGGCATTTACTGGCTGTGTAAAACTTAAACGAGTATTTAGAGAAGAAGTAGTCGTTGGACATCATAAACCACAACTGCCATACATGCCTGAAAGTTTAAGGGCTGAAAATGAAAAGTATGTTCATAGAAGTATTGTTCTGTTGCCGTTAAGCAGGGATGCTGTCAACGAAATTGAAGTGAATGTACCAATTTATTCTGAGCCAGATGAATACGAACTTCTGGCAGTTCGTAATTTTTCACAAACGTCACCAAATATGGATGTTATTGATGGAAGTCTGTATCTCGAATTTGCAAAGAACCCAAGGAGTTTTTACGTGATTGATGACACAGAAGAAGCGACAAAGAGACCTTTGTCCATACCTGAAGCACCTCCCCCTGTGCCGCCTCGTCCTGGTCATCATACAGAAGGTATATATTTCTAGGGTTTTTATATGTTTTCATTCCAATCAACACTAATCTTATTTATATTTGTATAGGTTAGATATAAATACTCACTTGGTATTTCACTAATCTAGACAATAATTGTAAACCTACAGTAGTTTTCGAGTGAAGTCGAATTGTCGTGTTATTAAAATTAATGGTTTTACTTATGTTTAAAAGGATGTTTGCATCTAAGGCTCTGAGAGTAAAACTTTACATCAAGTTCATACACATATGTGAACATGCTATCTCCGCCAGTGTTATGCATAAATGGATAATAAGAATAACCAAAACACCGACTTTTTACCTTTTACTCCAAAGGGACTGTTAAATTTTCTGCGATTTTCAAAAAGATGGGGCTGTAAAAAAATCTTTCAAAGTAATTAAAAGCACTACTCTTTTCTTGCATACCCTTTATGTGTAGAAACTGTATGACCAAGGTTTGTTGGAATCTATAATTGCATGAGTAATACATTATTTGTTTTTAGTATTTACCATCAAGTATAGCTTAGAAAGTTGATTGATGCAAAGGCTTGGTCCATAGATGTTTAAATATATAGACCCCTTGCTCATTTCACGGCGTTTCGTTTGAAAATCTATAAAATATCAGCCTGAAAAATAGTTTTCATGTTGAATGTTTTCACCTTGTTAAATTTGGGCGAGTACCAGTAGGGCGAGTACCAGTAGGGCGTGAATAGTGGTCAATTTTACGGGAATACGATTTAGATCTGAGAAATTTGATGTAACGGCGGTTATGATTTGGAAGAAAATTGAGGTTGAATGAATATTTTTTTATGGAAATTGCCAAAAGATTGTAGTGAAGTAACATTTGTGACGAATTTTAGCTGTTGCAATATATCACTTGACTATCAACAAAAATATATAAAAGATAACTCCTTGCGCTTATGTAAAATGTATAGAATCATGATTTTCTGAGGTTTATTGAAAATGTTAAAGAAAAATATATGTTTAAGAAATACGCCCCCTTAAAAGAAAATCACTGACTCAAGTTTTGCTGAAATGTGATATGAAAGGGTGTTGATTTGAAGGAAGCATTTATCTTAAAGTAAAAGCAATGAATAATATGAAAAGGAAACATCGATGTTTAGATAGGCTTATTAACAAATCTAATATTATCAAGATATCACATTTTTAAAGAGAAAACAAAGCATAATTACAAGCGATGAATAACTTTTTTGAAGTTAATATCTTAGGATTATTTAGAGAGTACAATACCAGCGATGAATTGCTTTATTTGAAATTTATATCTTAGTATTATTTAGAGAATTTAGATAACACAATTAGTTTAGAATTATAGATGTTAAATATTAGTATCCATTGCATTTGATTTGTTTTCAGAATTAGTGGATTATTTTCATTAAGTACCACTACAATTTTACAAGATTCATAAAAATTGATAGCAACTAACGTGTAAGAAATTGTTATTTTTAAACATACATACATGTAACGATATGCAATATTAACATTAGCCAAAACTGACATAGCTGATAATTTGACAAGTCTAACTCGATTGTTTGCCTATGACACATCCCTTTCTTGATCCCGAGTAATAGCCCATACACAAAAGAGGTTATCTTAAACAACGATTTAGAACAAATCTCATAATGACCTAAATATTTGCTATTTAGTTTTAATCCGTATAAGACAAAGGCTATAATATTCTCCTGTAATACTTCCTCAAAAATGATATTGAAATTGAATTTCAAAATCAAGCAGTAGAATTTGTCTCCTGTCATAAACCCTATAAATTACTTTCGATATCAATGGTAAATTCAACACACATATAGAAAACATAAGCACAACACATGCCACATTAAATGTTCTTAAAAAATATGAAATGTGTGTTGATTAAAAATCATCTTAATCGTATATACTTAACATTTATTATACCAATTTTGGAATATGCATGTGAGTTATGAGATGGTTGTACTTAACAAGATTCTGACAGTTTATAACATGTTTTGTTGGAATCAAGGAGAATTGTAACTAGGTTGCCCGCGTATGCTAGTCGCGAAGCTATTTATTTCGAAACAGGCTGGCAATTGCTAGTGGACAGAAGAAAGTCAAGAACGCTAAATATGGTCTATTCCGTACTGCCTCTGATTACCTCTGCGAATTGATGCCAACACTTTTTATCTGATTATGATTTGCGAACCCCGACATACGGACTTCCTAAAATATAAAAATATTCAAACGAAAGATGAAAACTAAATTAATACAGTCAAAATCCTACTTTATAAAAAAAAAGGAGATGAGGTATGATTGCCAATGAGACAATTAGTTGTTGTGATAGAAAACTATACAAATTAGTCATATTCCTGGTTCACTATCAAGGTTTTCCATTAAAAACTTGGCCAAAGAAAACTTTGTTCAAAAGTTCAATATAAATAAGAAGATGTGGTATGAGTGCTAATTAGACAACTCAATGTTTACAAAGAGAAAAAATGGCTCTATTATACTTCTCACAGAATGACTGCATTACACTCTGCAGTATGATAGTTAGAAATCGTGCAAGAGTGATAAGACACTCGTTGCTAAGAAAAGACAGAATTTTCTTCAAAACTCACCTTCAAAAACTCCACAATGATGACTGCGACGAATTCAATAATTATTTCACAATGGACAATCCGAAATTCAATCTGCTTTTAAGTAAAATGTAAAATAACAAAAATACCGAACTCCAAGGAAAATTCAAAACGGAAAATCCCTTCTCAAATGACAAAATCAAAAGCCCAAACACATCAAACGAATAGAAACAACTATCATATTCCTGACTTGGTACAGCCATTTCCTTATGAAGAAATGGTGGATAATTCCTGTTTTATAGCAAGCTAAACCTCTCACTTGTAAAGTTGAACCACTGATGGAAATAAATTCAATAAATTCATCTATCAGTTCATTTCTAGAAAGTTTATTTTACTCTTACTGGAACACATCCTACTTTTTCCGCTAACTTTTCCATGCGCTTTTGTTTTGAAGACAAAAATTGCATCATTACTAAACTGCACTATGAATGGCTAATTCCCGTTAAATACAATATGTTAAAACTTAGCCAAAACTACCCGAACCTTTAATCACTTTCTAAGACATCAATGGAAATAGTCGCTTGACGGCGATTTCTGTATGACCATGTATTGATGAAAACTGAAAGTTCCTACGATTATTTTTGAAATATGCTTTTAGCTTCAAATCGAGGCAGATATTTTTTTGTTTCAATAGCTTTCATGCCAAGGACGACAATCACAAGACTTGACTTATTAAAACTTCGTTGAAAAACGCGCTCAATTATTGTAGTAGAGCACACAATTTACAGGATAAATAAAAAAAATATATGTATTTATATATGACTTGTATATATATTTGAAAACTTATGAACATTTGAAAACTTATGTATAAGTATATATATACAGTATATATGAATTAAAGGAGATGTGGAGGCATACAACGATGAGATAGCCTCAACAACACCAAATTTACAGAATCATAATTTCATACGTATGGGTAATGTTACAGAAATGAGATCCATCGAACTAAATGCAATTCTAATTCCAAGACTGATACGTGCAATAATGTACCTTGTACCCTCACTAGTGTTGTTTTGGTCTATAGACACTATTATTAAACAGTTGAATGCCTTTATTTACTATTGCATAATAATGTCCGTGTACAAACTTGATTTAAAAAAATTATTGATTCTTCAGATGTAAGTTTAAGATTAAGAATTTATTATAACCAACATTCCTTCAAATTAAAGTTAACAAGTAAACATGCATATTTGTAAATTTATAGTTCTTCTGGAACGAATTTGTCGGATTTTCAGGAAAGCGCGAGGCTCAAACTAAAAGAGAGATAATTTGATTGCGCAGGTTGTTCTCGCGTTAGAATATAAATTCTTTTACGTTTATTTACAAATCGTGGCACAGTGTATGCACTTATGAAAATCAAATTCTCCCAACCATAGAACATATAATTCTAGAACTGGACGTCACAAATATTCATACTAGGTACTTATGCTGCGTTCACACGTAATTCGAATTCGATTCGCATTAACTAATTCGAATTAGTTTAATTCGCATTCGAAACGTTTAACGTCCAAACGTAAATTCTAATTCGAATTGCAATGCGCGTCAAATATGCTTTACTGTCCTAACGACGTTTACTTTTAATTCGTATTAACAAAAACGCATTTCTAATGCGAATTGGATAATGCGATTTAGCCAATTCGAATCAATTCGAATTAAAAAAAGAAGAGTGTGTGAACGCGATTAGCGAATTCGATTCGCATTCGATTCGAATTCAATTCGAATAATATGTACGTGTGAACGAGGCATAATAATGTAGATGTAACGACGTAAATAGCTGTGTTTTACCATTGTTTAGTCTTCATTTTCACTCATGCATCCAGATCATTTTGTATATCCCGTTTTATCAATAATTACTAACAATTAACATATCAGGTTGGATTCTTTTTACAATATATACTGTTATTAGTGTTGTCTCCCTTTACGTCAACTCTGTTTTACAACTATTATAGACTGGCGGGAACATTTAATTTCCATGATATAGTCTATCAATTATCTTTGATAACCACTAACCACGATGATTTAGTGAATCATGAGAATATAGTATATACTGCTAAAACCAGTATATTCATTCAAACTGAAATTAAGAAAAAGTAAAGAATGACTCGGCTGTATTCATATCTAAATACATATTTAATGTGTTGTTCGTACTCAGTTACTTTCTAGTGACAAAAAATCTGATCCTGCGGGTAAATATCGCTTAAATTCGATGAGATGTTTGGGTCGTGTAATGAAACTAAAATCAGTGAATACCTTTTGTACATTTGATACATGTGGAGCAGGGTCTGTTTATCCTTCCAAAGCACCTTAGATCCCCCCCCCCCCCCCCCCCGATTTTTCGTGGGGTTTCGTGTTGCTCAGTCTTTGAATTTCTATGTTGTGTTTTGTTTACTGTTTGA